TATCGAACGAGATCGATAAAAATATTTTTTTTGTTCATAATTTTATATTACACAAAATGACTATTGTCTTGTTTTTTTATTTCATTATAATTTTAAAGAATCGATTATTTCAGCACGATATCAAAATATTTTCTTAAATAACTGAAATCAGAGAACCAACCGGACTATATGATATTATTTGTTTATTTTTTGATACTTCATATAAGTTTTTTAATATCTTCACACAATAATTATTATGGTTTATATATTTTTATGCATTGCGAGTGCACATTATGATAATATGAATTGCACGTTAATGATGCACAATATCATAAAAATCAACCAAACTAAAATTCGTGGTTCGAGATTTTGTATTTCAATCCAATTATTATTTTTATTATCCCTCTACTTTAAAAAAAACTCAATTATTTCTATTTTGAAGTCACCTCTATTTTTTTTTTTAAAATAAGTGAAATAATTGAACTACATGAAACGTATTATTATTATTTATATATTTTTATGCATTGTGAGTGCACATTTATGATTATATGTATTGCACTATAATGACTATATGGCTACACAATATCAAACAAAATCAACCTAACTAAAATTTTCAATTCAAAATTTAATATTTCGGTTCAATTATTATTATTATTATTAATACATCTACTACTACTTTTAAAAAATCAGATATTTCGATTCGATGTTGGTTATTTTTTATGTAAAAATATCATTTATTCTCAATCATAAAAATATTAAAATTCTAATTATGTTTAATTCATTACAAATTCAACCAATTAACTCAATTGTAAATATTTTTAACATTTATAAAATTACAACTTGGAACCTAATATTTATCAAATTTACAAAATTAAACCCCTAATACTTATTGCATTTTTTATTAAAACTCCCATTGCCAAGTACATCTCCTATTAAAGACTCCACTGCATCCACATCAAGCTTGTTCGGCGACGCTATACAAAAAAATTAAATTGTATATAAGACCCTCAAATTTATCTAATTCACAAAATTAAGCCCAAATCCCCACCTACAATCTGCCTCCCGTCATTAACCCAATCCCACCCGCAGTTGTTTCCTTACCCAACGTCGCATCTAGGTGTGTGTTGATGACCACATAATCGAGCCTCGTGCCGGCGGCCTGAGCCTCACACCGTCTCCGATCTGATTTTGATTGACAGATGATCGAAGTTGGGATTTTTGGTTTCCGTGGCGGTTTTCATTGATTTGGTCGATTTTTAATTCCGTAGGCAGAGAAGACGGGTGGTGGAGGGGAGACTGAGGAACTCGATGGCGACGGTGTAGCAGATTCCGATGCCGACGAAGTCAACCGAAAGGGGTTAATCGGCGGAGAAGATAGGTCGCCGGCAACCTCCGTCGGAGAATTAGACAGAGAGAGAGGGAGAGAAAGACGGTAAAATAAAGATGACTGCGTCAAAGATGACGACGGTAGATGCAGTAGGCGGCGGCGAGCGGCTGCGGGTGGCGGCGAGCGGTGGGGCTGACTGGTATGGAACAGTGCGTGGAGTGTGTGTGTGTGAGTATGTGTGCTGCTTGAGATCTGAGTTGGTCGGAGGAGTGGCAGATGGTGGTGGTCGGTGAGCACGGATGCCGGCGGTTGACGTTGTCGATTTCTGGCAGCAGTCGGGGAGAGAGAAATATGGGGCGTAATTGTAGTGTGTGTATTTGTGTGTGAGAGAGATAGGGGGGATAGAAGAAGGGTTAGTGGTGGGCCCATGTTGAATATTGGATGGATATGTAATGACTAATCTGTCCCTATTGAGTGGTCAAATATGTAGATATGACCTCAATGTGTATACTTATTTACTGTATTGTCATTAATGATTAATCATTATTTATTAAAGTTTGACTTCATTATGTCCATTGATCGTACCGATTCAATGGTCTATATTCATTCTTATTTTTTTCACTATCTACCATTCTCATATTTTTTTTCACTATATATATATAGAGAGAGAAGAGATCATATGAGAATGGTAGATAATGAAAGAAATAAGAATGATCATGGACCATTGGATCCAACAAGTCAATGGCTATGATCAAGTCAAAATTAATAATAGTAGTCAAACATTGGCTGGCATTCTTGTAAATAAATGATCAAATCGTGGTCATTATTTACATTTTACCATTCATTAAAGATAAAGTAGTCATTTCAAATAATTACAACTCAACAATGGGACCTACCTTCATCTATCATCTAATGACTCTCTCTCTCTCTCTCTCTCTCTCTCTCACAATTCACACAAAACACACACACACACACACATGTCTAACACACACATACACACACATTGTCGATGCACACAGATGACAGAACTCATCACACACACACACACAGCCACCTAGAAACAGTCCCGCAGCCCGGCGACGGGCTGCCGTCCGGCAACGGTCGCCGCCCCCGACCCTCACGCAACTCAGACGACGCCGGACATCACCATCGACAACCTTGGATTTCGACCGCCGCCACCAAAATCGCAGCTGTCGGTCTTGTCAACACCGCCACATCCTGCCACGGCTCCACCCCCACCGGCTCGACCACCGCCCCAATCTGTCCGTCAAATTCACATACGCCTCGCCGTCGACAGTCGGGCGCAAGTCTCCACCACCGACTTCCGGCTCCTCCGTCAAACACCTCACGCAAAGTCGCATGGTCTCCAGCACCCTGTGCTAATCGACAGCTCCTTCGTCGCCGTCGCGTGTCTAAGTTCCGGCCGACTTGAGTCCGCCGTGCGTCCTTTGCGTCGCAGGATTCCGATGGCCCTGTTCCACCGTTACACTTACAGTGACCACCACGGACTGCTGAGTTGAGCACCTCCGGCAGGGGAGGTTCGAATTCGGGCCGATTGCAATGGCGTGATGTGGGAAGATTTTTCAGGCCGATTTCAATGGCGTGATGGTTAGGTGTAGGTATATTTCCCGATTTTGCAGGCCGCTTTCAATGTTGCAGGTGTAGGTGAATTTCAAAATTAGGGTTAGGTTAGGTGTGATTTAGTGGAAATTAGGTAATTTTTAGGGATAAGTATGTATTTTCAAGAATTTTACTTATATTGTAATTTAATTAATTGTTTAAGTATTCATTTTAGGAAAAAACTTATAGATGTAGTATATTGTTCAAAACAATTATATAATATGTGTATGGATATTCATATTAAATTTTGTGAAATTCTAGTATAGTTAGTTTTAATTGATGGATTAAATATGTATTTTAAAAAAAAAAATTAATAATGGCACAATTATGTTAGATACAATGCACAACAACGATAAATAATTTGCACAATATCATGTGAATATATGCACATTAAAAATAAAAAAAAAAATAATAATAAAGATGTCACTGCCCCATAGAATACACAATACTGTTAACTGGTTGACGTTGAAATTTCAACATGATCGATTATTTGGCGGTTAACATAAATAACCAAAATAACCTACATAAATTATATAATTTATTATAGAAACCATGATTAGTAGTTAATATTTTTTTATTTGATATTATATATTAGTTTTCTTTAATGAAAAAAATAACACTGTATATATGTAAACGAAATAATTTTGCAATCTATCAGTTATTAAGGTGCAATTCGTCCATCAATAAAGTGCAGGTTGTCGGTCTGTATTGTGCATAATGGACAAACTGAACTTGTCCCAAGTCAAATTGAACATGATCGTAATTAATTGGTTTATTCGGTTCGACTAACCAAATTATCTTAAATAATCGAAATAATATGCCATTTATATAACGCCCGAGGTTGCGCTGTCTCTTCGGGCACGTGGGTCGAGCGGTCGGCACGGGCGCTCGAGGTCGCGTTGTCTCTTCAGGCACGCAGGTCGCGCGGTCGGCATGNTAAAAATACCTAAACTGCCGATCCCTCCCCTCACTTTCGTAAGGCGTCGCCTCGTGCTACGCAACGCTACATCCGAGGCGACGCCATGGCGTCGCCTTTCACAAGGCCGCCTCGCCTCAAGGGTATGAGGCGTCGAAGCCCCGCCTCGCCTCGCCTCGCGCCATGGCGCTATTTTAATCACTGGACTGTGCGCAGACCGGCCGGTTCGAACTAGTTAAAAATTAGAATTTTCTGTGCTTTAGAATTTATCCGAGAACTCTAGACGAGCTTAGAAAAGTCGAGAGAGAGTTAGAAGAGTTGTTTTATTATCTTAATTCCGTGGTTTAATTAACAAGTTAATTCAAAACTAATTCTTCAATAATTTTTCTAAGTGAATCCTTTAATAATTAAATAAAGTATTAATTTATAGATTAAGAAGAGTCGAGCCCTCACGAAGAGGCATCGAGCATTTCATCGTCAGCATATGTGGGGGTGTTTATATACCATACCATACTCTATAAACGCGAGATATTCTGTTTTATGTATGTGATGTGTTAAATGTCGCCTGCTCTCGGCCTGTGAAGGGCAACTCAGTTACATTTTGCCTGGCGATGCCTGTGAAGAGCAATCAGATGTATTATGCCTGTGAAGAGCAATCAGATGTATTATGCCTGCGAAGGGGGATGCCTGAAGGGCAGCCTGAGACCAGTTTTACATGTTTCATGCTTAAAATATGATATCTATTTTTGTATCGAATAATCTTATAGTAGTATGGTTCCCACGGTGAGCTATTTGTTTTGCTCACTCCCCACAATTATCATTTTCAGGTTGATCGAGCTGGCGGCGGACACAAATTGGCGAGGGTGGACTAACGAATGTTTTTACTTTATGCTTCCGCAGACTGTTTTTTAACTCATTTCATGTTTTAGCTTGCCATGGTTTGAGACTGAGTTTGGGAAGTGATATCCCTAAAAGAACCTAAGTGTGAAGCTTAGGTTAAAATTATAGAACCAAATCAAGCTCCCTTTCCATATAGGGTTCAAACTTAAAAAGGTAGGCATGGGACCAGAGTCTCTGATCATATCAATAATTGGAATAATAGTAGATTTTTCTGCAAAAAAGTAGGGCCGGATTAGTAGATTTGTCCAGGGCATGAAATCAGAAATGATTGTTCAGTATTAGTGGCTGGAAATCGGTAATGGAATTATATAAATAAGAGGGTGATGACTAGCTGCAAGCAGGGAAAAGAGTCGGCTATGAATGAGTATTTGTAACAAACCTCACAGTGTGACTGCAGATCCATGACATTGTAGACCAATACAGACCCTTTTTCTGTACTAGCTGGAAGGGCCACGTACGGGTTATCCATATTTGCTGAAAATGCACAGAGTCCTGACATTTGAAAAGATAAATGAGCACTGTCAAGTAAAAAGCTATCAGGATTTCAAAATCACAACTTATTTCAAGCAAAGCAGAAACAGATGCACATCCACAGCCAATGAAATCAAGAAAAAAGAGCCAAAGAAAGTAGCCCCTGCTTCAGTAGGGAAGGACCAGTCCAGTAAGGGGATCGTCTAATTGTTATTTTCCATCCTTTCTATTTCTTTTACTTTCGAAATGCTTTGCATCACAGTTCAATCAAGACGCCACTTTTTATTAGTGAAAAGTTCAGGTTCAGGACAAATAAGCTTCTGTCAGTTAAGCAATATTTTTATCCAGTATGACAAATGATTTTTTAGTTCTGTAAACTGCGGTTGATTAGAATTACAACTTTAATGGTCTGACTTTCAGGATATCAAACAATAAGTCTAAGAGAACAATTTCAATTTCAAACAATAGTACAAGTAAATAGTGTACGTAATTTATTGAGAAGATCAAATTTAACAGCATTGCAACTTTCTAAAACTGACCTTGTAAGTTTGGCACTGTATCGATGATGCGCTTTACTTCTAGAGTGTTAACATCATAGATGTAGGTTTGCTCTTTCAATAAAACTATCAATCTGCATATACAGAGCAATCCCATGAAACTAAGAAAATAAAGAAATAATTTCTTGATAACTATAAACAGTCGTATGATTTGCGCTAAGAAAGATACACGATCTTCTCTGCATAATCTTACAAACAATGACCATCGTCATTGGTACTGATATGGCACGTACTTTAGTAGAAACACGTGATGTTAGAGCAGACAAATATCAAGTTCATGCAACCACCAAGTATTTAATCAATTAAAACGACTTTCATTCACAGAAACTTATATATCTACCTTTTCCTATTTACACGAACTGCCAGAATGGATGTCAAGAAGTTGAGTTCCCTGATTGCAGCTCCACTTATGGTATTGAACAAACATAATCGCCTTGGAGATAAAGATGGCTGGTGGAAAAAGATGCATACTGACACGTGAAAAAATAATCCCAGTAACTATAACAATGATGAAAACAATGAGTAATGTGACCTGTTCACCAGCTCCAACTATGGCAAGAAGATTTGATCTGTATAGCATTTCGACAATGTTGAATGCCCCAACAACTAGAAAAAGTAATCAAGTTCAAGTCAAGGACCTGATATGCATAATCAGTAATACTAAAAGAGTCTCATCTCTACTCTTTTATTCAATTAAAGCGCAAAAGCTTTTATGGTATATTTATATCATTTTAGAACTTAATTGATCTATAACAGGAACAACAACTCTGTGGGTACCAACTTACCCTGAGCACATATTTTCAGGTAGGTAGCCGATAAGTAAAGATGCATCCCCATAAAATATTTCCTAATATTATGTTCATACTCAAAATCGACACACATTTATGCCTATTTCCAAATCAAATGTACAAATGTCTAAATATTTGTTCTGGAGACATTTGAGCTAAAAATAAATAAATAAATAAACAAGTGAAGTTCACGCTAGGCTGCATCAATATTTTCTGGTAAAGGATATTAAAGTAGAGCAAAACTTGATTTAGTACCCTTAACTACTTGATCCTTCTAGTAATCGCAATTGATACATGTTTGGATATTAGAATCATTCATAAAACTTAGGACCAAAAAAGTATAGCCAAGTGACAGCACTGCAGATCACATGGTGGCTGTAAACTGTTCAATTTTTAAAACCTATTAACACCAAGAGAGCACAAAAGTAGACATAGAATTTCAAAATCATAACTGCTTTGCTTTTCTTTTCTTTTCTTTTCTTTTCTTTTTTATTCGAGCCTCAGTAGCATAAAAATTCATCATATTTCATTGGCAATCGTACATATACCACATAAACATAAATTAATCAGACAAAGTAACTTCCCAATTGACAAATCTCCTTAAGAAATATATATATATTAAAATTGCAAAAGGATTTTCAAACCAATTTGACAATTGAAATACCGCGTTCGTAGAGAAGCCTTCCTGTGTCGCAGTCAAAAATCTTGAATCCATCTTTCGTTCCGATTGCAAAGCAGCTGAAAAAGAAAAAATAAGGAAAAAATAATCAAAGAAACACAGGAAAAACCATATTCGATCTGTTTATTGAATGATATTTGGATGCGGAAACCTGTTGTCTTGATTGAAGGAAGCGCATCGCAGAAGAAGAGAAGATGATTGATTCGCCATTTGAAACCTTCACTCGCACTTTCTTTTTCTGTTCGAAGGTCATCGTCTAATTTCCTCAGTCAGCAAATCTATTTTAAAAAACAATCTGTAAATTTATTTGTTTTAATACAGACTTGAGATTTGAATTTATACCCCTCCACCTGCTTTTATTGTGTTAACTCTAAGAGCACGTTTGTTTGTTTCCCAGGACATGACTCCTTATCCGCCCAAAATCCCGCGTTTGTTTAGCATGATTACGGTCCAGTAGATGGGATGCGGCCCGAGTGCACAGTGCTCAAATCCAACTTTTCATAGATTAATTGATCTGCCCGAGGGGGGGTCAGATTCGACATGTCCCAACAGTAAAATAAGTTAGAAAGTCTGAAATGCCCCTAAAAGTAATTTTATAGGACAAAAGTGTCCTTTTTTTTTCGGAACGATAGAGATTACTATTAAACAAACGCACAAATATGCAAAGTTACAGCCCCTAGCTGAATGACCCAACTAACAGCTGAAAAAACAGGGAGGTCAATCAGAAGATCGCCTAGAAACCAAACTAGCCATGCTAGAATTGATCGGCCACACACAAAATCACAAACAATACACAGAACAAACTAAAAAACTACAAACGATCCCCACGGGATAATGTCTGAGTGTAGGATCCCCACAGGATAATAAGTTTACACTCAGACGAACCGAGGCCAACGGCCCAAACCTAAAACACAAATACTAACACAAGACAACACATACGACACAAAATAAGGACTACAAAAACAAAAAAACACGCAAAGCCCTTCCCCAATTTTGCTGGCCGACCCAACCAACAGTGAACAATCGACACAAGGAAGATTCTAAGCCCAAGAAACCACTACCTAAACTGCAAGTCGCCTATACAATAGTCGAAACCAAGCCCCGAACCAATCCCCGAATCGACCCGTCTTCAACCAAGAGAAACAAGAACCAGCCCCCACACCAGTCCCCCGAACTCGTCTAACACCACTAGCCAAGCTCGGGAGAGCCAGGACCCCCACAGCCTAACACCACTAGCCGACATGGGAGATAGGGAGAGGCGCGTTCCGTAACTCCGGCAACCCCGGCGTGGGACCCAGCCGAAGCCCTGCCCCACCACGATGCAGCCAAAGCCCCACCCCACGAGCAGACGGACACACCTCACCACCGCAAACCGCCGGCTACTAGAGGTCAAACTCCACCCGAAGCGCCACCGGAAGAGGAGATGCCATTCGATAGGGATCCTCAATTCACAGACCAGAGGCAGATCGGAAGGGGACGACTTCCAACCGAGGACCTGCCGGCGACCGAATCGCAGGCCGTTCTCCGATCGGGAGCCGCGCCACAGATCAAGCAACCGTCGACAACCAAGGACCGACCACCCATATCCGACCGTCCGCAGCCACATCGGAGGAGCGCAGGTCAGGAGTGGAGCGAGCAGTTGAAGACTACCATTGGCCAGAGCCACGCCGTTACCGGGGGAGGCCGATCGATGAGAAGATTGAGAAAACGCGGTGGATGAATTTGGGGATTAGGTTTTAGCTTTAGAGAGAGGAATAATCTCGAAGACTTAACAAACTGATTTTTTTTAAAACTCTATCACATTTAATTATATTTAATTTCTAATCAGAATACATATATTAAAAAAGTTTAGTATGAAAACAGAAGGAGATGTAGCTCAATGGAATTATTAAATGACATTGAGCGGGACATTTGGGGATCGAAACCTTTTTTTTTATTTTAAAACTAAAATATATTGAATGTGTAAGTCAATTCCAATATTGCTATATATATATATATACACATTCATATTTATCAAATTGTTATATAACATTTCATTTTATTTTTGACAATTATCACTACAATTTAATATAAATCCACTAAAATATATTTTAGTGCAAAGTAAGCCAATCTCGAAGACTTAACAAATTGAATTTTTTTAAAACTCTATCACATTTAATTATATTTAATTTCTATTTCAGAATACATATATTAAAAAAGTTTAGTATGAAAGAAGGAGATATAGCTCAACGGTATTATTAAATGACATTGATCGGGACATTTGTGGATCGAAACCCCGCATCTCTAATTAGTTCTCCTCTTTGTAGGAGCTAGATTCTCCTTTTTGGGAGCTTTAGTTTGTTTAGTTTGTTTGTTCTTGTAGATGCATTAATAGTCTCTCTAGGCTCCCATTCTCAGGTAGTCTCCAACTAAATTCAACTTGACTTATTCTAGCTTGTCTAATTGTATATGTGTAAAATTTATCGTTCCGAAAAAAAAAAAAATNAGAAAGTATACCAATATTAAGTTAACTTAGGTCGCTCGATCTATTTCAAACTTTATACCAACAAATAAGAGTTTGAGTAATTTAAATATATATCATATATCTTTATATGATAAAACCATGCATTTGTTTTTTTGTCATATGATGCTTTTGGAACGAATAGTATCACGCATTGTGTAAGGAAATAATGGAGTAAGCATGCAACTCTCATATGCACTCATTTCTACAACATTTTATCACTCAAATTATGCGATTTCATTTTTCATTGAGTTAATAATGACAAAAATACAGAGAGTCAACACAGCAAAACTGAACTTTAACTAATCCTAAAGTACATTTTTACATGTTTCACAAAAATTCAATCAGAAGTTCAAGAACTTAACTAAATCTTTAGGCTTCATTTGCCCTCTTTGGACCTCGGAATTTTCTTGTATTCATACTTTTCTACGTCAAGTTTTTCTTGCAAAGCCTTCACAAAAATTCAATCAGAAACTCAAGATCTGCACTAAATCTTTAGGCTTCATTTGCCCTCTTTGGGCCTCGGAATTTTCTTGTATTCATAATTATCTACGTCAAGCTTTTCTTGCAAAGCCTGTAACGTAAAGCACACATCTCAGCTCTAAGGTACAAAATCACCACATATTTCTCACCAAAATACATCTTACAAAATAATAAAGGCAAATATAATATAATAATAATCGTGTTTTACCTTAAGCTCTTCATGCAGCGAAATTTTTTTAGGTTTATAGGCGTCAACAGGTCCCATTCTGGATAGAGCTTTTTTTGACTCAATAATCTCCCATTCTTGGTCATCCTTCACTTTAGCTATGTCCTTGCTGAATTAGAAACTTCATGTCATCACGGGATTTAAGTATAAACAAAATAGTTTTATTGCATCTTTCGTATTCAGCACTATGTACACATTAACAGATAACCATTCACATAAACTACCCGGCATTTAGACTAATTCCAAAGACACAATTTGTCTTCCACAGCTGTAAAACTATTACCAAAACCTCCTAGAAGTTTTGTATTAAAGATATATAATATAAGATCAATCACAATACAAATACATACAATATAAAACCATTCTCCTATTGATGTTCGGAACGAACAAACTTAAACGAAAAATTACTGTAGCCAAACAAAGCAGTCAGGCATGAGTCCAGGCTGAAATTATAATTCATCTCACACTAACCTTCCCTGTAGTAGATGGCCGAGTCCAAGAGCACCAAGAACAGTGAGTGAGATCATAGGAAGACCATATCTGATGAATGGTGATATCCTGCCCCAACGTCTGAATTTTGAAGTCGAAGGCTCGAATTTTGTACCGGACTGCATTTTTTGATTATCCAACATCTTGGGCTCCACCAATCTCGTGTCAACAGTGGTCACTTGTCTGCTAAATCCCATTTACACCAAAGAAAGAATGAAGACAACTTAAATAGAATAAGTTATGTTAGAATGAAGTTATTATTCCTTTTAGTGAACAAGATCCTCATCCAATTATATTGTAGATTCTAATCAGTTAACAGTCAAGCAAAACACAAGCTAGTATCAAACTATATGAAAGAGTAGTTTTGCTACAAGTCAAGATAAAAGGCATTTCCCTACTTTTCCGTATATTTTTCTTTCTTTTTTCAATGAACTTGATAATTTTTCATGCAATTTATGCACCCAGACAAATACTCAGCCATGATAAACTACTTATCAAAATTTAAGAATTCGATGCTAATCACAATTTCGAATAAACAATATATAGAAAAGGTGAAAACCTTATTGTGAAGTGAAATCGGCGTCTCTCACCTGCGAATCTAAGTGGCCGTATTTTTCTTTTTCATTTATTCGCCTATCTTCATCTCAAGATAAAGTCATAGGCTCCTGTGAGTATAAGAGATGAAGAAGAAGAAGAATAAAAATGAAAANTGTATATGCGCCCGGATGAGCGTTTTTGTACGATTTATTTCCTTAAAAAAAAAACAAAAAATGAACTGGACAAAAAAGAAAGAAAAAAAAATCTAGTGGACCAAAATAGAAAGCCCGTATTCACTGAATACGTTTTATTTTATAAACCGTATTAAGCAAATACGGTTTCAATTATAAAACGTATTTAGTGAATGCGTTTTCCGTAAACAAAAATTATTAAAGTTAATTATCGTAATCAACGTAATTAACCTATAGAAAAACGTATTTGCTGAATACGTTTTATATTGAAAAACTACAATACGTATTAAATAAATACGTTTTTATATTAAAATTAATTTAATATTATTTTTTTAATTATAAAACGTATTTAAGAAATACGTTTTATAAATAAAATCAATTTTCTCATTTCGCGAAAATAATTTTTTTTGGGATAAAAAATTTTACAATATAAAACGTATTTGCGGAATACGTTTTATTTTGTAATTTTGCCCCAATTTGATTTTCTTTGCCCTAATTTTAATTTCAACAGAAAACGTATTTACGAAATACGTTTTTCGAATTAAAAAAATAGAAAACGTATTAGTTAAATACGTTTTTATACAAAATCCTGTTCACTATCAAATGCACCTGTTTACAACCAAAAAATACACATGTTCACAACAAAAAAATATACCTGCTCACAACCAAATCCATCATACCATAATTTGCCGAACAAAAAAATGAAACACAATAATTTGCCGAACAAACAATATATACAAAACGATATAATTCAGTTTATACAGACAATCCAACAATTCAAAATAAACACAAAATCTACAAATTCAACACAACTAACTAGGAAGGAGTATATGGTTGTGTAGGTTTGCGCGGTCTGGACCCCCTCCGAGTATATACTATGTGAGAAGAAGACGAAGTCACAGGTGTGAGAAGCGTGTCAGTTTGAAAAGTCTGCTCATCCTCTTCTTCTTCATCTGAGTAATTCAATTGAAAAAAGAAATTATAAATTGAACTATAAAAAAAAAATGCTAATTTAAAAATCTCACCTTGTTGAGGCTCGGGCTGCTCAGGTTGGAGGTGCTGGGCGGACGGCTGAGCGCGGGGACGGGCCCGAGCTCTTCTACCCCCACCAATGTTGGGGGCGGGTTGATGCCTGGCCGTGTGTGACTGTGTCCTCCTGGGGGGAACGTATTCGTCCTGGGAGAAAACTTGACTAGACGGCCCCCCATGTGGAACACCCTGGCCCCCAACAGTCATAGAAGAGTAGGCAAAGTTGTACGACTGTTGGAAGCCGGTCTGCGCTTCTGGAGGGATTTGAGGCATTAATGGTTGAATGTCGGATAATGCGCCATAAACCCCTTGTAGTGCAGA